TCTACAATCTCAACTATAACTGCCCCTCCAGATCTAGGTCCAACCTGTAGATTGAGGATTGAGTGGAAAAGCAGCTATCCACATTTTTTAAAGATTAGACACAAATGCATCTTCACACTGACAGACAGAGAAAGCTTGTGAAAACAAGAACTGTACTTGCTATTGGAATTACCCAAACAAAACAGAAATACTCCAAGAGGTTTTCACACCAGAGGAGGCTCCTCAGAGGAGGAAGGGGAGGACCATCATACTCAATTAATTTCATAAAAAGTTACATAGTGAAACATTAAAAAGTTGTCATTTTTAAAGAAAACTATACTAAATATATTAATGTCACCAAATAACTGACTACAACACACTGTTTTACAATGAAGGTCTACAGTAGCCTCAACAGCACTCTGTAGGGTAGCACCATGGTGTAGCCGGAGGACAGCTATTTTCCATCCTCCTCTTGGTACATTGACTTCAATAAAAAACATAGGGTGCGTTAGTTTTAGTAGCTATGTTGACTATGATGTTAGCTAAGGTGACAACGATGTGGGCTGTGTGCAGCGGTTAACGGTTATGGTATGAAGGTTTGGCATTGAGCATGTTTGGGATGCTCTGGATCAACGTGTACGACAGCGTGTTCCAGATTCCGCCAATATCCAGAAACTTCGCACAGCCATTGAAGAGGAGTTGGACAACATTCCACAGGCCACAATTAAAAGCCTGATCAACTCTATACGAAGGTGATGTGTCGCGCTGCATGAGGCAAATGGTGGTCAAATATCACATTCAATTGTACATATCCACTGAATCACTGAAGCGCGGAAAAGTTGGTTCCTGTTTCAGTCACGTCTTTTATCACGTTTGTGTGGGTCAAAGAAAAACACCCTAATGATTAGTTGACAATAGAGCCTCCCACAATGCAGGTGATAGCTGCAGGATGAAGTTGGTGAAGAGCAACTGTGGAAATTTGCAGTCGACTACAGTCAAAACTTCATGACCTTTGATCACATTGTAAAGTTCATGCAGTGGTCATGTCGGACAATTTTTATCTCCCATAATGACACCCACTTTGGAAGGCGGTGAGGACTTCGACAAAAGTGATCCGCTGGAACGTGCCCCTTCTCCCTTCATGTGGATCCGGCAGTCCTACATTTGACCTTCGACCTAAGCAGCACTTCTAAAAACAACCAAATAAGTTGGTTAACTATACAGGAAGTTCAGAGAGAACACTGCAAAACCACAATGCCCTAAAATACTCAGCATTGAGATAGACGCATGCAGATACATCTTTTTGTGATCATGAAGAAGAGGTTTTTAAGGTTACTTGGACTGTATCTATAAATGCTAAGTATGGACTCAGCTCACTGGCTTCTGTCTTTTGACTGAAAAGTGAAACTGAAAGCAAGCAGAAATACATTCTTTGCTTCATGATCACCCAACTACCTCATCCCCATATTGTTATTTATTTTGCTCATTTGCACCCCAGAATCTCTATTTGCACATAATCTCTTGCACATCTATCATTCCAGTGTTAATACTAATTGTAATTATTTTGCATTATAGCCTATTTATTACCTTACCTCCATAACTTGCTACATTTGCACACACTGTATATTTTCTGTGGTATTTTTTGACTTTACGTTTTGTTTTACCCCATATGTAACTCTGTGTTGTTGTTGTTTTTATCGCACTGCTTTGCTTTATCTTGGCCAGGTCGCAGTTGTAAATGAGAACTTGTTCTCAAATGGCTTCTTACCTGGTTAAATAAAGGTGAAATAAAATAAATCAGTTGAGGAACGTGGTTTCTGCTGGTTCCTCTTCAGTGTGACCAAAGTGCAGACAGTTTCCCCACCTCCCTCTGATGGTAAAGCAGCAGTATTATAAAGCTCTTGTTCTATACGAAGATACAGTTGTACTATTTTTTCCAGGCAAAATACCTGTTATTCTTTACTACAGTAACTAATATAACACTCAATGTGCATAAGAAAGTAATATGAGTAGTTGTAATAAAAAAAAAAGAAGCTATATCAACAACAAATCTCACTGTTAAATGTACATTTTATTCAATGCGAGCTGAAAACAAATGGATTTTAGTTGCTAGAGAGACCTGTACAATAAAGTGGGTGGTGGTGAGCTCTATGTAAGCCTAAAGCCAACTGAATGTGCACATTTAATTACATATACATATATACAATACATATACTATCTCCTCATTTGAATTCCATGCTGTCACAGTCACTAGCCCATTTAAGCTTAATATCCTTGTCATCTATCGCCCTCCAGGTTCCCTTGGAGAGTTCATCAATGAGCTTGACGCCTTGATAAGCTCCTTTCCTGAGGATGGCTCACCCCTCACAGTTTTGGGGGATTTCAACCTCCCTACATCTACATTTGACTCATTTCTCTCTGCCTCCTTCTTTCCACTCCTCTCCTCTTTTGACCTCACCCTCTCACCGTCCCCCCCTACTCACAAGGCAGGCAATACGCTTGACCTCATCTTTACTAGATGCTGCTCTTCTACTAATCTCACTGCAACTCCCCTCCATGTCTCCGACCACTACTTTGTATCCTTTTCTCTCTCGCTCTCCTCCAACACTACTCACTCTGCCCCTACACAGATGGTAATGCGCCGCCGCAACCTTCGCTCTCTCTCTCCCACTACTCTCTCCTCTTCCATCCTATCATCTCTTCCCTCTGCTCAATCCTTCTCCCTCCAATCTCCTGATTCTGCCTCCTCAACCCTCCTCTCCTCCCTTTCTGCATCCTTTGACTCTCTGTGTCCCCTATCCTCCCGGCCGGCTCGGTCCTCCCCTCCAGCTCCGTGGCTTGATGACTCATTGCGAGCTCACAGAACAGAGCTCCGGGCAGCGGAGCGGAAATGGAAGAAAACTAAACTCCCTGCCGACCTGGCATCTTTTCACTCCCTCCTCTCTACATTTTCTTCATCTGTTTCTGCTGCTAAGGCCACTTTCTACCACTCTAAATTCCAAGCATCTGCCTCTAACCCTAGGAAGCTCTTTGCCACATTCTCCTCTCTGCTGAATCCTCCTCCCCCCTCCCCCCTCCTCCCTCTCTGTGGATGACTTCGTCAACCACTTTGAAAAGAAGGTTGACGACATCCGATCCTCGTTTGTTAAGTCTAATGACACTGCTGGTCCTGCTCACACTGCCCTACCCTATGCTTTGACTTCTTTCTCCCCTCTCTCTCCAGATAAAATCTTGCGACTTGTGACTGCAGGCCGCCCAACAACATGCCCGCTTGACCCCATCCCCTCCTCTCTTCTCCAGACCATCTCCGGTGACCTTCTCCCCTACCTCACCTCGCTGATCAACTCATCCTTGACCGCTGGCCATGTCCCTTCCGTCTTCAAGAGAGCGAGAGTTGCACCCCTTCTCAAAAAACCAACACTCGATCCCACTGATGTCAACAACTACAGACCAGTATCCCTTCTTTCTTTTTTTTCCAAAACTATTGAGCGTGCCGTCTTTAGCCAACTCTCTTGCTATCTCTCTCAGAATGACCTTCTTGATCCAAACCAGTCAGGTTTCAGGACTGGTCATTCAACTGAAACTGCTCTTCTCTGTGTCACGGAGGCTCTCCGCACTGCTAAAGCTAACTCTCTCTCTTCTGCTCTTGTCCTTCTAGACCTGTCTGCTGCCTTTGATACTGTGAACCATCAGATCCTCCTCTCCACCCTCTCCGAGCTGGGCATCTCCGGCGCGGCTCACTCCTGGATTGCGTCCTACCTGACCGGTCGCTCCTACCAAGTGGCGTGGCGAGAAGCTGTCTCCGCACCACGTGCTCTCACCACTGGTGTCCCCCAGGGCTCAGTTCTAGGCCCTCTCCTATTCTCCCTATACACCAAGTCACTTGGCTCTGTCATATCCTCACATGGCCTCTCCTATCATTGCTACGCTGACGATACACAACTAATCTTCTCCTTTCCCCCTTCTGATAACCAGGCGGCGAATCGCATCTCTGCATGTCTGGCAGACATATCAGTATGGATGACGGATCACCACCTCAAGCTGAACCTTGGCAAGACGGAGCTGCTCTTCCTCCCGGGGAAGGACTGCCCGTTCCATGATCTCGCCATCACGGTTGACACTCCGTTGTGTCCTCCTCCCAGAGTGCGAAGAGCCTTGGCGTGACCCTGGACAACACCCTGTCGTTCTCCACTAACATCAAGGCGGTGACCCGATCCTGCAGGTTCATGCTCTACAACATTCGGAGAGTACGACCCTGCCTTACACAGGAAGCGGCACAGGTCATAATCCAGGCACTTGTCATCTCCTGTCTGGATTACTGCAACTCGCTGTTGGCTGGGCTCCCTGTCTGTGCCATTAAACCCCTACAACTCATCCAGAATGCCGCAGCCCGTCTGGTGTTCAACCTTCCCAAGTTCTCTCACGTCACCCCGCTCCTCCGCACACTCCACTGGCTTCCAGTTGAAGCTCGCATCTGTTACAAGACCATGGTGCTTGCCTATGGAGCTGTGAGGGGAACGGCACCTCCGTACCTTCAGGCTCTGATCAGTCCCTACACCCAAACGAGGGCATTGCGTTCATTCACCTCTGGCCTGCTGGCTCCCCTTCCTCTGCGGAAGCATAGTTCCCGCTCAGCCCAGTCAAAACTGTTCGCTGCTCTGGCACCCCAATGGTGGAACAACCTCCCTCACGACGCCAGGACAGCGGAGTCACTCACCACCTTCCGGAGACATTTGAAACCCTACCTCTTTAAGGAATACCTGGGATAGGATAAAGTAATCCTTCTACCCCCCCCCCCCCCCCCCCCCCCCCCCCCCCTAAAAAAAACAACAAAAAAAAAACATTGTGAAGTGGTTATCCCACTGGCTATAGGGTGAATGCACCAATTTGTAAGTCGCTCTGGATAAGAGCGTCTGCTAAATGACGTAAATGTAATATACATAGGTATGAAACTACAGAATAACCAGCTCTCTGTCTGTCTCAATGGTGTGAAAAAGGGGGTAAATCTTTTCAGATACATCAAAGTCGACATCAAAAGTGTAAATATGCCGCCTTTTCTCTGCGTCGTAGAAGGAGACCTGTCCCTCCTCTACGTCCAGGTAGACCCCTACCCTCGAGGGTACGGACTGGTTCAGTTTAGTGACTGGTGAAGTTACAGCCATGAGCTGTCCAAGCTGCAGAAGTAGAGTCCAGTAACCTCTCTTTGGACTCAGGTCAACAAAGCCTTGTCGTGGTGCTGACTCTCTAACCACCCCTATCCTCCATTCTGCCTTGCCCCTGACCCCCACCTCCCAGTAATGCCTCCCTGAGTTAAAACCCGTTGTCCCCAGTACACACCACCAACCACTGTACATTTTGGAAGTCATTTCATAGTGACCCCAGGGATTGTAGACACTCTCAATGATGGTGTCCATTTTCACTCTTTTCTTGTTTGGGGACAGTAGGAGACTTGGGTTGGCTGTTTTTTCATCCAGTGTGATCTTAGCTGTAAGGAGATAAATCCATTTCATTAAAAGGTCAAATTAAGTTAGAAATTAGAAAGACAGTGGCAAGAGAAACCTTGTTGTTCGTCACAGCTATCACAAGATTGTTATGATGGTAATAAATAACGTATTTTGCATTGATGAGCATCCTAGTTATTCATGCAAGCAATTGAGTTGTTGTTCATACCAGAACACTGAAACTAGTCTTTGCATGTTATCTCATTTGAATAAAATTTGCATTGGCAATGAACCATACCGACCTGATGCTTTCAAAATCCATTTCCAAACTGTAATGAAACAGACAAGACATTTAGGATCACGTTAGCAATGAAGATCTACAACAAGTATGTTTATTAAAAAAACAGACGTGAACTGTGGAATTTGACGTACCTGAGTCAGGAATGTGATTCAGTGTCACTAAGGGAAAAACAAAAACATATTAGATAAATGAACTGATTAAAATAATGTATGTGTTGACTTTTATTTATAACCACACACAGTGTTGACTTCTATAATAACCACACACAGTGGTAGCAGACAGTTACCTCTGCTTCTGGACCTTTGATTATTTCTGAGCCACTGCTTTGCAATGGAACCCTGTAAAAACAACAGCCATGTTATTCTACAGTTCAACAATGGAACCCTGTAAAAACAACAGCCATGTTATTCTACAGTTCAACAATGGAACCCTGTAAAAACAACAGCCATGTTATTCTACAGTTCAACAATGGAACCCTGTAAAAACAACAGCCATGTTATTCTGCAGTTCAACAATGGAACCCTGTAAAAACAACAGCCATGTTATTCTGCAGTTCAACAATGGAACCCTGTAAAAACAACAGCCATGTTATTCTACAATACAACAATGGAACCCTGTAAAAACAACAGCCATGTTATTCTACAGTACAACAATGGAACCCTGTAAAAACAACAGCCATGTTATTCTACAGTTCGATTTTATTTAAATGTCACTCATAGAGACATGAAATATGTCTCTGTTTACAACTGACCTCCTGGGGCTGTTCCTGCAGCATGCTCCAGATGATGAAGTCCATGACAGGGAGCATGTTGGGTAGCTTCCCTCTCTTCCACTGTCTCTCCAGATCCTGCAGGACTGAACACACATCCTCTCCTAGACACACTGAATCCTACAGAGACACAGAGACATGGGATGATATTGTAGGATGCTCTCCTTGTAATATGTATCATTGTAATGTTACAGAAAACTTTTTGTGGTTCTCTTTTTTGTTTTACGGCCTTCCTGTCACCTGTTCCATGCCGTCGAGTGTCCTGGCCCAGTTAGACAGGGCTTTGCTGGCCTCCTTCAGTTTCTGTTCCTTTGCTGGTATCTGTTGATCTAGAGGTTCCTCACTTCTCCTGTCTCTTGTGATTTCCCCAGCTTGTGACTAGTGAAGAACAGGTCAGGTGGTTTAATTACAATCCTCTTTGTTTGCATTTCTCAACAGTAAATAATGTGTTACTTCCTCCAGAGTGACTGGCTGTCAACACCGTATGCACATGACGTGTACTTAGACTGCGTATTACATTTTAGTCATTTTAGCAGACGCTCTTATCCAGAGCGACTTACAGGAGCAATTAGGGTTAAGTGCCTTGCTCAAGGGAACATCAACAGATTTTTCACCTAGTCGGCTCAGGGATTAGAACCAGCAACCTTTCGGTTACTGGCACAACGCTCTTAACCACTAGAACCAGTGCCAGATGAACCTCTAGCGTATCGGGGCGGTTTCCCCAACACAGATTAATCTAAATCCTGGATCTCCATCTAATTTTTTTTTTTTAGTCTAGGACTAAGTTTATTCTGTTTGTGGTAACTGCCCCATGGTGTTGGTACCTGTCCAGTCTGTGGTGAGTGGTTCAGTTCCTCAGCCCACTGCAGTATGAAGTCTTGACGCTCCTCTTGACAAGATCCATCCTCACACAGGAGGGATATGTTTCTGATCTGAGGAACGGTACAGGTACAACCGATTATGACTCATGACCAATTGTAAGTTAAAAGATATGGTCACATTCTTTCTCTTCACCATAATCAGACGGACTTACCGGAACTACCCAGCTCAGTTTAGCAGCAAGTTCTCTGATGATTAATTTAGACTCATCGAAGGTGAAATCATCTTTCTCTGTGTCCGTTCCCTAAAGGGAAAGAGGGTCAGTGACTGTGTGAGCTGAAAGGAGTCTGTGGCGGTCTACTCCCCATCATTGGCTTCTGCTGTTATATGTCTACTTTGTCTCATTGGTAGACGATACTATGTATTTCATTCACCTCACCTTTACTTGTGCCAACAACTCAAGCGCTTTACGCTTTAGGTATTCCTTCACCTTTGCAAACTGTTGAATAGAACGAAGTATGGACATTACAATGACTGTTGACGGTTTGAGAGCGAAAAGTGAAGTCAAAAGAATTTCAAAGAACATTTCATACTGTGGATGACTGGCATTGAAGAAACCGGTTTAATCACAATGCATTCCTGTCAAACACGTATACAATGGAGCTTGTCTGTATCTTTCCTTGATCATAATCTGTTTGACGTCTTAGATTGCTTCTAAAAATAATGTTTGGACTGTGGAATGTTGTCCAGAAACATGAAGGAATAATCTGAGTCCTGACTAATAGAAAAAAAAGAGCGTTCTGCATAGTGGAGCGCCTTCACAATATATTAAGGGTAATTTAAACCAACGTTATTAAGGGTCTTTTAAACCAACGTTATTACGGGTCAAGTTTCAGTGACCTTCAGTGTGGTTCCTGTTTCGTCAGATGAGACCTTCGTGACCGAAACGTTGGTTTAAGTGACCCGTGTCAAGAAAAGTACAGCACACATCTGTCCGTTTAATCAAACGTGAAACTGAAACCTCAATTCCTGTTTCTGATAAGAGTTGTTTCCCAGAAACTACCCAGCACATATTGACATTGTGAGGGCACGTCTGAGCATCTAAAGCACGTCAAATCTTGGCTGTGGCACTTATCTATGACACAGACTAACAATACTCTCTGAGCTGAGAAGGAATGCACGTTCCAGTGCATGTAAAGGCAGTTAAAACAAAAAATGCAACCCACTTCAAGGGAATGCCTACCAGAAAATGATATTCTCTAAACATTTGACTATATTACCTTACGTAAGCTCATTACTGGTTTGGCGAAAGGTTGTGATGAACAGGTTCTGGGATTGTTCTCTTTTTTTTTGCCGATACTTCCAAAGCTACCGTAACTTCCACCAATTCGCTCGCTCTCTCTCTCTGCAACAATGACAAACAAAGAACTGTGAGTCCAGTGTAGAAGAAGTTATACATCTTGAAAATATGCACTTTGCGCTCTGTTGTTCTACTTTTAGGAGCTATTTTTTGAAGCAATAGCACTTCAGAAAACGTCTGTTATTGTTGCTGTAAATGTGAGAAGTTACATTTCAACTTACCAGCTGTCTGTGAAGCCATCTTTGTACTATAATGATGATCTAAAACCCAGTGAGAGTACAGAATGCAGAATCCTTCTTGTTGTTCGTCACCATCCAGAGAATGAAGAACTTGTTTTGTTCATGGTTTGTTTAGTCTCACATACTCCACCCTCTATCACTACTCCAAGCAGTTCTATATCGTGGAGCTCCACCCCATAGGAGAGCTCTGCTCCTATTGGTTTACCCTCTGCCCTAAGGCAGCAGCAGCCTGAGACAAAATTATGCACACACCTACAGCCTGATGTTCTAGCAGTGTCTGAATCATGGCTTAGGAAGGCCACCAAAAATTCTGAAATTTCCATCCCCAACTATAACATTTTCCGTCTAGATAGAACTGCCAAAGGGGGTGGAGTTGCAATATACTGTAGAGATAGCCTGCAGAGCTCTATCATACTATCCAGGTCTGTGCCCAAACAGTTTGAGCTTCTACTTCTAAAAATCCACCTTTCCAGAAATAAATCTCTCACTGTTGCCGCTTGCTACAGACCCCCCTCAGCCCCCAGCTGTGCCTTGGACACCATATGTGAATTGATTGCCCCCCATCTATCCTCAGAGTTCGTACTGCTTGGTGACCTAAATTGGGATATGCTTAACACCCCGGCCATCCTACAATCTAAACTAGATGCCCTCAATCTCACACAAATTATCAACGAACCTACCAGGTACAACCCTAAATCCGTAAACATGGCTACCCTCATAGATATCATCCTGACTAACTTACCCTCTAAATACACCTCCGCTGTCTTCAACCAGGATCTCAGCGATCACTGCCTTATTGCCTGCGTCCGTAACGGGTCCGCGGTCAAACGACCACCCCTCATCACTGTCAAACGCTCCCAAAAACACTTCAGCGAGCAGGCCATCCTAATTTACCTGGCCCAGGTATCCTGGATGGATATAGATCTCATTCCGTCAGTAGAGGATGCCTGGTTGTTCTTTAAAAGTAATTTCCTCTCAATCTTAAATAAACATGCCCCATTCAAAAAATACAGAACTAAGAACAGATATAGCCCCTGGTTCTCCTCAGACTTGACTGCCCTTGACCAGCACAAAAACATCCTGTGGCGTACTGCATTAGCATCAAATAGCCCCCGCGATATGCAACTTTTCAGGGAAGTTAGGAACCAATATACACAAGCAGTTAGGAAAGCAAAGGCTAACTTTTTCAAACAGAAATTTGCATCCTGTAGCACTAACTCCAAAAAGTTTTGGGACACTGTAAAGTCCATGGAAAATACGAGCACTTCCTCCCAGCTGCCCACTGCACTGAGGCTAGGAAACACTATCACCACCGATAAATCTACAATAATCGAGAATTTCAACAAGCATTTTGCTACGGCTGGCCATGCTTTCCACCTGGCTACCACTACCCTGGCCACCAGCTCTGCACCCTCCGCTGCAACTTGCCCATGCCCCCCCCGCTTCTCCTTCACACAAATCCAGACAGCTGATGTTCTGAAAGATCTGCAAAATCTGGACCCCTACAAATCATCTGGGCTAGACAATTTGGACCCTTTCTTTCTAAAACTAGCCGCCGAAATTGTCGCAACCCCTATTACTAGCCTGTTCAACCTCTCTTTCGTAACGTCTGAGATCCCCAGAGATTGGAAAGCTACCGCGGTCATCCCCCTCTTCAAAGGGGGTGACACTCTAGATCCAAACTGTTACAGACCCATATCCATCCTGCCCTGCCTTTCAAATGTTTTTGAAAGCCAAGTCAACAAACAGCTCACCGACCATTTCGAATCCCACCGTACCTTCTCCGCTATGCAATCCAGTTTCCGAGCTGGTCATGGGTGCACTTCAGCCACGCTCAAGGTCCTAAACGATATTATAACCGCGATCGATAATAGACAGTACTGTGCAGCCGTTTTCATTGACCTGGCCAAGGCTTTCAACTCTGTCAACCACCGCATTCTTATTGGCAGACTAATTTGCCTTGGTTTCTCAAATGACTGCCTCGCCTGGTTCACCAACTACTTCTCAGATAGAGTTCAATGTGTCAAATCGGAGGGCCTGTTGTCTGGACCTATGGCAGTCTCTATGGGGGTGCCGCACGGTTCAATTCTTGGGCCGACTCTTTTCTCTGTGTATATCAATGACGTCGCTCTTGCTGCTGGTGACTCTCAGATCCACCTCTACGCAGACGACACCATTTTGTATACATCTGGCCCTTCATTGGACACTGTGTTAACAAACCTCCAAATGAGCTTCAATGCCATACAACACTCCTTCAGTAGCCTCCAACTGCTCTTAAACACTAGTAAAACTAAATGCATGCTCTTCAACCGAACGCTGCTTGCACCCGCCCACCCGACTAGAATCACTACTCTCGACGGGTCTGACCTAGAGTATGTGGACAACTACAAATATCTAGGTGTCTGGTTAGACTGTAAACTCTCCTTCCAGACTCACATTAAGAATATCCAATCCAAAGTTAAATCTAGAATCGGTTTCCTATTTCGCAACAAAGCCTCCTTCACTCATGCTGCCAAACATGCCCTCGTAAAACTGACTATCCTACCGATCCTTGACTTCGGCGATGTCATTTACAAAATAGCCTCCAACACTCTACTCAGCAAATTGGATGTAGTCTATCACAGTGCCATCCGTTTTGTCTCCAAAGCCCCATATAATACCCACCACTGTGACCTGTACGCTCTTGTTGGCTGGTCCTCACTACATATTCGTCGCCAAACCCACTGGCTCCAGGCCATCTATAAATCACTGCTAGGCAAATCCCCGCCTTATCTTAGCTCATTGGTCACCATAGCAACACCCACCCGTAGTCTGCGCTCCAGCAGGTATATCTCACTGGTCATCCCCAAAGCCAACACCTCCTTTGGCCGCAATTCCGCAAAGCTGGAGACACTTATCTCCCTCACTAACTTTAAGCATCAGTTGTCAGAGCACCTTACCGATCACTGCACCTGTACACAGCCCATCTGAAATTAGCCCGCCCAACTACCTCATCCCTATATTGTTATTTATTTTGCTCATTTGTACCCCAATATCTCTATTTGCACATCATCTCTTGCACATCTATCATTCCAGTGTTAATACTAATTGTAATTATTTTGCACTATAGCCTATTTATTGCCTTACCTCCATAACTTGCTACATTTGCACACACTGTATATATATGTATTTCTGTTGTATTTTTGACTTTGTTTTGTTTTACCCCATATGTAACTCTGTGTTGTTGTTTTTATCGCACTGTTTGCTTTATCTTGGCCAGGTCGCAGTTGTAAATGAGAACTTGTTCTCAACTGGTTTACCTGGTTAAATAAAGGTAAAAAAAATTAAAATAAAAATAAATAAAAAATAGGAGTACAGGTGTCCCTATAAGAGGGGGTGCCTCCCCTCAATCAGCCTCCCTTTTTCTTCAGCGACTGGATGACTAGACTGAAGAGCCAAGAAGAGACGAAGCACGAAGACTCAGGACGAAAACGCCATTGATATTCCAGTCATCAACGTTGTCTAAATGAGCACACCGGGAGATTTTCCACCCCCAAAAGCTCTTTTCAGAGCTCAGTGCAGATGCACTTCCATGGCGGCCGGTGACCACCACGACTTACAGTGGGGGAAAAAAGTATTTAGTCAGCCACCAATTGTGCAAGTTCTCCCACTTAAAAAGATGAGAGAGGCCTGTAATTTTCGTCATTGGTTCACGTCAACTATGACAGACAAAATGAGGGAAAAAAATCCAGAAAATCACATAGTAGGATTTTTTATGAATTTATATGCAAATTATGGTGGAACATTTTTTGTGCATGAGTGAGTTTGATTAAGTTCTGTTGGAAATCGAGTACTGACATTATTCTGTAAGATTGAGGTCATTTGGTGCTTATTAAATAATTGGTTTATGAGTACTGTAGTGTTGCTGGAGTTGATGGTATTATACATACTTTTCCTGATTAAAGGGGGTAAGATAAATTGATAAATTAGTGAAATAGGAAATAGAAAGAACAATTATTTTTGATTATTCATAAATTAATTGATTAATTGTTTAATTGGGGGAAGAAAATATATATATATATATATTTTTTTTTAATATTCATATTTTTATTGATTAATTCTTATTATTTAGGGTAAAAAAAAATAAAAAGTAAAAAAAATAATGGGTTTATATTTTTTTTAAAGAGAGGGAACTATAAGCTACATAGTCTAAAATAATAAAATAATTAACAATAAAGGAATATAAAAGAGTTGTTACAAGGGGGAATAAGGACATAAAAACTATGAAGGTAGTTACACCTGTTGATATAGTTGAAAATAGTAAACATTGCAATACCATTAACTAAAGGTTATCTGGAAAGGGAATAAACGTTGACCTGACATTGAACAACCATGGCTAGTGGAAGGGATTCTTAACCCTGACGTCATCAACATGATGAAAGTGATTGAATAATAGAGAGAGGAGAAGCAGAAACGACGATAAAGATGAATCCAAAACTCCAAAAGTAAGAAGAAAACGAGATGTCTGGAAACTAAGGGTGAGTGAGGTTCAGGAAGATGGAACTTGAAGATGAAGAAGAAGATGATGATGATAATCAGAGTGATTGAGAAGAGATCATGGGTGGATATGACTCTGTGATCAGAAGGAAGTGGCAAGAGAGGAAAGAAGGGGTGATGGAAGTTGAAGGAAGAAGAAGGATACTAGAGATTCGATCTCTGATGAAAGTGAAGATGGAGAAAGCGATGAAGATTTGGAGATTAAAGGTGCTTTATGTTAAAGAGGATTTTATCCAACAATGATTAGCACAGAAGAAATAGAAAGAGA